AGGAGTGTGATTCTTACTCTGAAAGCAGTGGAAAGTCAGTGAAAGATTTTAAACAGAGGAATGAAATAGACCTTGTAGGAAATTTTATATATGTCTTTGCTTAAACATTATATTACTTTAGTGTAATAGTAAATAAATAGGCATGTTATTTGTACAGATGTTAAAAGATACAGCAGTTTAGTACATAATTTTGTTTGATTTTATCCTTAGTGTATTAAACCTAGTCTTGATAAATTTTTCATTGAATATTTTATTTACTGTTAAAATTAATAGTGAACACCAAGTGTAGAAATTTGTAGAATTAGAGGTGCAGTAGGACAAACTGACAGTTTATTTCAATAGTTGTTTTAGTGATAGTTGCCTCACAGAGAAAAACAAATTGTCCTGTTAAAATAATTTGCTTCTGAAAAAATAATAACAATTTGCTTCTAGAATCCTGATACTCCTAGTCATCAAACAGTTATTTGTGTTCCTCAGCCAGATGTCACTGTCATCAGGAAGTATTAGATAGTGATACCTAATAAAGTTGATATATATGTACTCTGACAAAGTTTGAGCTTTTAGTTCATGCATGAATGATTTTAGCAGTCTCTTCCAGTGCTCTCTATCCTTGAACCTGCTGCTTTTTTATATCCTGGCCTGTTTCTGAGATGATTATATTTCAGACACACATTTTACCTATAAATTTGAGTGTTCTTCATTTAATACTTCAATTAAGGAAATAAATTATGTGCATTTGACCTTTTGATTTGTCTCCTGTCCTTATTGTCTTTTAGGAAGGTGATTACACATTGTTGATGTACCAAAGATGGGTCAACATTTTGTCTAGTTTAAATATAATTTGGAGATGTAAAGAATTGTTTTCATGACTTAACATCAGAGGAATATTTTGCCTTCATGGTTTCTTTTTCTTCCCCAATTTATCCACCTTATACACTATTACCAGATCATTTCACTGAAAGAAATTTATTCCATTGCCATGGATTTCAGTTTAGAACCCAAAAGACTGCCTTCTCGTGAAAGGGCAAACTATACATTTTAATTTTAGAATTTGTATTGGAAGCAATAGATCATGTGGAAACTTTTTAAAAGCTGTGTCTAGTTTTATTTCGGTCCATCACTGACACATTTTAAAATGTGAATTTGAGAAAACCGGGAGAGTCAAAGAGAAAGAATAAAGGATTATAATTCTATGTAGAAATGTTACAGGATGAGAGCTTTGTCTGTTCTTGGTTTGTACAGAAGGGCCAACCATGACAAATTCTGTGGGATCATATGTTAACAAGTAAATAATTTCTTTCATCTCTGACGAGGTGAGAAAAACCATTATAGTTTAAATTTAAAGCTATCTTAATTTGGGGTTGTAAGACAAGGTAACTTTTTTATGGATGGCCTTTACTGATATTAAATGAGGAATAAATAAACGATCACTCTACATTCAGCCTTGTGTTAGGAATCTACAGCTAATGGAATGTCTTTCTCAACTGGATTTGTCTGTACCTCTTCACTAGTAAAATTTAGTCTTATGGGGTCAGTTGTGGGTGGAGAGATAGGGTAACTTAGGTCCTTGCTTTGCGCGTTACCCATGGATCCATTATGGCGATCAGCTAGAATGGGTGTAGAATCATGATTGGTAGGAGGTACATATGTAATAGATTTCAGTCAAGTTCATTTCAGCTCTTATGGCTGTGTAGTATTGATTAGACATGCTGATACTTTATAACTTAAATCTGATGTTCAACTTACAATTTGATTTAGTATTGCAACGATAAAACTGAGGAAAATAATGATTATTGTCTAATAATGTTTATAATATCAATCAGTTCATATTATTTTTTACATATCAGGAAGTGAAAATGATTGGAATCCATCTTACAAGCTGCCCACCACAAGGTGGTTAAGACTTTTCTTTGTTTAATTATCAGTTTGACTTTAGAGTTGTTAATTCTTTAAGTTCTATTGCCTTTTTTAAGCTGTGTAGTTTGGGAAATTTCGTCATCATTTTCTCCTCCTTTGTGTGTAACAAACTTCATCAGCAGTGTATTTAATAAAAGGAAGCAATTTCCCCCCTCCAGAGGTCCATGCACTTACCTGGAAAAACAAAGAAAGAGAGTGAGCAAGTACTCCCTGATGGGAAATGGTCAATCCTGTCTCCTCTGTTGCTCCCTCTTTTTGGGATTTTGGGCAGGCATGCACACACACTTCCTAGGTATAAGTCCCTGGTTCTGAGATTCGAACCACATGGTTGACCATATTAGATCCACCTACAATAGCACTGCACCACCGGCTGGCCCAAAAGAAAACAGTTTTTGTTTTGCTTTGTTTTGTTTTGTTTTTGGGGTGGGCGGGAGAAAGTGAAAAGGCAAGGAGCCAGGTCTGGCAGTCGTCCATGTGGGGGTCCAGCGCCCTTAATCACCATGCCACCTGCCCACCCCAAGAAAGCAGTTCTTAAATGCAGAGGTGGAATGAGTTAGGGGGATTGGCATAGTGTGGGAAAAAAAGAAAAGTGTCTTTATCTCACCCTAAACCATCCTCCCAACCAAAATCCTAGGTCTTCTTTTCTATGTTATGTTAACTTGCACCTGTTACAGGCCACATCCTACTTTCTTTTTTTCACCTCTGAGCATAAGTGGAATCTATAAAAAATGTATGGAAAACACATACTATGAAAAACCTATGCATGGATTTCAAAAATTTTTTTACACTAAATTGTACTTGAATTCCATTTTCCACAGACTTGTTGAGGTTCCCTAGTTGTATGTCTTTTTATATTTCTGTCTTGTTTGTTTTTAAGGCAGAGTCTAGCTATGTTGCTATTCTTCTGAGTAGCTGGGACCAAAGGCATGCACCGCCTGCCCAGCCTTTAGATTGGACCAGGACTCAAACCTACGTCTCCAGTGTGGTTCCATCCTGCAGAGCACGTCTTTCTTGGCATGCACCACTATGGGTGGGCCATCTCTGTTTTTCGATGACTCCTCCTTTCCATCTATTTGAATAAAATTTATTTTCGACTACTTAATTTGCTTTTGTGTCTGCCACAGCCCAATGGTAGCTTGTCTTTCTTATATGCTACTGTTGATTAATTCTGTATCCAGACTGTATTGTTTTTAACCTTTATTATATTAAAACTTTCACATGAATCTTACTATGTCACTCAAATTCTAGTTCTGTGAACATAGGGATTCACTCCCATTCTTCATGTTTCATCTGTTTAATCCAGTGCCAGACACATAACAGGAATCAGTATCTATTATTAGTATAGTTGCAAATACGTAAAGTGGTGGAGTGTTTTCATTGCATTAAGTGGTCTTGGAACTTAAATATGAATTTTTTTTTTCTGATTTCCCTTGAGATTAAATTTTGACAATGAAACAGAATATATTCTCAAATAACTGAGGTCTGTGTTCACACCTTATTACTGGAAGGGAGGTTCCATTAAAGGATGCTCAGTTACCTGCAGGTTCTTTGAATAGGAGCAAGTATTTATAATATGTGTCCCATAAGGTTTTAAATACTACAGGTTCTCCCAAGCTCTTAAAAATAGCTTGTGTGTGAAGATGGAGGGAAAATTAGTCTTTAGATTATTGAAAAATCATAAAACAAATACCCCAATGATTGCTATTAATATACAAAATACCAATAATAGAACAATAGTACTAGTTCTTCAGCTTGAATTGTATTAGGTCATTGGGAAAATCATGACATATTTTCTATGCAAAAATATATCATGACTTTCCCAGCAATCTAATATTAGTCCAAGTTGAAAAACAGTTGGCTCCCTCAACAGTTGGCAGAAATTCAGATGGTAATGTTAAATATAAATGGTGAATATATATGACTTCGAGCATGTTGCTTCTCTGAGCCTTAGTTTCTTTGCTTATAAAATAGTGATGTTAATAACCTGCCCCAAAAGATAAGAGCGAAGGCTAGGAAAGATAGTGTATGTAATGCACCTAGCATGTAACCTGATGTCTTCACAAGCATCTTACACATGCACACTGTCTTGATACTCCCTCCCCTTCTCCCTCGTGTCAAATACACCTTATTTAACCGAAAGTCTGCATTAAACGTGTCCTTAGTATGATAGCACATTTTGATATTTTAATTAACTTATTCTTAATTATAACTGATTTGGTGGGAAACTAGACCTTGAAAAGGTTGATAGTAATGTAGCCTGAATATTTTTTTTTGTTTCACTTCAAAGTAGTAAGCTTGAGAAAGTATTTTAAAAAATAGTCTTAAGCTTAAAAAATACATTAAGCCATTGTTGCTAGTTGGAGGTGTCATAATTTTCTGAGATTAGTCAAAAGATCTCTAGATAAGTGAGAAAATTAAATGTTTACATCTTAACTAGGGCAAGTATTACAGGTATTACGCACATTGTCATTTTTTTTACCAGGCTCTTCGGGGAATTGAGTTTTCTGACTATAAACCACTTTTGTTTCAACCCTTTACATAAATGTTCACAAGCATTATGGT